TTGTTCCCAAGAGATTGTTTAGGCTTCTCCTGGTAAGAGGTGCAGCATATAAATTCTCAAATGGTAGTTGTCATATCCCAAAATAGGCATTCATATACCTGTCTCCAAGGAAAAGCTGTTGAAGGCATAGATTGCAAATTCGACTAATCTGTTTACTTGGAGAGAGTTGGGCAGAGAGAATTGTAACAAGTTTTTTGGCACTCTTTTAGAACCTGTTCTTTGTCCCACCACGTTTGGCATTCAGTCCTGTCTTCCTTTTCAACAGAAAGTTGAAGTTAGAGCAGTTCCTGTCTATCTAGGTAACTCACCTAACACCTTGCGCTTACTACTCTGGGTGTTCCTTTTAGTCTTCTTCAGCAATCTAGCATAGTTTAATTTGTTCCTTTTGCAGCTTAGGGAAAAAATTGAGAAACTGTTACTGTTAGGATACTAAATTATAAGACATTGGTGAAAGTTACATTCACACATATATCTGTTTGCCTTAATTTTGAACTTCTGTTAATAGCTAGTGATACATTGTCATGTCAGTCATGCAGACATCCTTACAAGTACATCAGACTGCTGGCAAAAAAGTGCTTATTTTCGTCTACTCTTTTTCCGTAACAGTAGGAAAGTAGCAGACTTAGATTAGGAAGGCCATCCTGAATTATGTTCCCATTATGTTCCAGTTGTCATCCACTATGCTTCTGGGAACAGACTTGGCTATCTGTTGGTGGTGTGAGAAACCTGTTAAATCTTGGATTTACTTAAAAAGCTGGCGGTGTGTTGACAGGATTACTGAAGTGACTGCTCAGTGAGTGGGTGTTGTGTGTCAGATGGTGGTACATTTAAATTTAGTACAGTAAGGAACAGGCTTTGTTCTCAAAACTTTCTCTTATTAAGGGTCAGACTCATTCTTACTGACTTTAGTAGAATATGTCATGCTATATAAATATTTTTGGAGACTGCATAATCCAGTGGCTCTAAGTTTTTACTGTTAAACAGGTGTATTAGTAAGCTTTCAATGGCTTATTCCATTAGTAATGCTGTTAGTTGTAGAAGCTGTGAAAACATACTTTTTATTCAGTCAGAATTTTTTTGTGACTGAGTTCTAGTTGTTGCATTATTCAAGGCACAAAAGCAGTGCGTGTATGCTGGTATGCTTTGTAACCTGGTATTTCATACCTAAATCACAAGTCTATGTGGATTGGGTGTTTTTTTAATAATCTTTCTATTTAGTGTTTTCAGGACTTTATTCTCACTGCTTCATCTACTTTGATACATACTCTGTACTCTCCTATTGATTTTGATGTGTTCTGTAATGTTTTTCTGTGGTTGAGTTACTTGGACCAGTTCAGTTGTTTCCTTTAAGGTCGCTTTTTTGCTTATCTTTATTGTTAAGTGAGGCAAACCTAAAATTCCATAAACTGAGCTGTTATCTTCCCACTGGCAGCTTTAGAACAATCTGTTGTTTTAGTCTTGTTTAGTTATACCTATCTAGGTGCCATCTGCTACCTGTGGCATCTTTGAGTATCTTACCTACATTAGGCAACTCTCCTACACTTTACAAAGTGCAGGGGTTATATAATCACACACTCTATTGGAGTACTCCTGGTTTATCTTCAAAATCTATCTTTTTCGTAGAGTACAATTAAGGTACCACATAGAATTTGTTTTAGGAAATATGTGGAGTTTTAGTCCAAGTCTTATTACAAATGATATAGAATATTTTCAGATTGAACTATTGAATCTACATTCATATATATTTATGAACACTGCTGCACATTTTTATCAATGGTTATGCTTGGACTTTTTTTTCCCCCCTAGACCTGTTTCCAAGAGGAAATTAAGTGCCTTACTTTCCAAATGAATGTGATTTTTGATAGCACTCCATTTTCTTTAACTCCTGTGTATTCTGAGATCTGTTAAGAATAGCTTGATAGAAAAATTAGTCGTCTATCAAGAGTCCTTGCTTATCTGTCTGCTGTTACCAAGGGACTGTTGTCTGGAAAGCTTGTATTTTTGTTACCTTCTTTTATAACTTTATTACATTTAAGTCTTTAGAACCATCTTTTTATATTCCAGAATGTGACTCTTTCAGTTTTTTCAATGAGCTAGTCTTTGTTTGGTAGCACGTTGTTTTGGGTTTTCTTTTAAATTATTCCCTATGAAGCTTTTCAGATTTTTCATATTATTTTGATATGATGTACATACATGTGATCTCATACTAGTGGTTTTCTCTCTTCACTTGTTTGGAGTTCAGCAATTAATTTTATGGACAAGGACTTGATATCTATGTATGTAAGAATGTACATAAAGGATATTTGCATATTCTTGGTTTCGAAGTTCATTCCCATCAGTAGTTTTTTCTTTTCTTAGCAGCTTTTCTGTTGTGTTTTTTCCTTTTTTGGGAGGATTGAGGGTGTCTTTTCCTTCCAGATAGGCTTGAGCCATCACCTAATCAAGAATTATCTTTGACTGAGGGGAGAGGGAGGAAGTAGTAGTTTTTGACATGTATGTTTGCTGTCTCAGTCTTACACTGTTGTTTTTATTACATTTAACTATGCCCTGGACTATATATAGATTCTTGATCTGTTGCTGTAATCAATTTTTTTTGCTTTCCATAGCCTTTCTAGTGAAGATACTTAGCTTTTAGTCTTCTATAGCTGCTAAATTAATGTTCTTGTAGTTTTCTCCTTGATGTGAACTACGCCTTCTAATATCTGGATTGTGCATTGAACACAGATTTTCAAGCTTAGTGGTAAGATTTATGTCCAGTATTGCTTCCCTGGTGCCTGAGATTGTGAATTAATGGTAGCACCAAGGACAAATGTAGTTCTCGGTATTTCTTTCAGATTGTTCTTATCTGAAGCACAAGGTGTTATACACAGACACAAAAAAAAGAGCTGAAAATACATGTTTTATTTATAGTAGGAAAGCGAAATTCTATGTGTCAAATGTTAAATCTTTCAACTTGTAGTTATAAACACAACTTCTTTGTGGTTTTGGAAAGGAATAGTATAGTATTCTAGAACTGCTGAGGGCAAATATAAAAAATATTTTGGTTCTCCTGATCTTCACAAATTTCAGTGAGTACACAATGAGGAATATTTTAAAGAATGGCTAATTGTATTCTATTGGAGAATAACAGGTTGAATTTTCCCCTCCTTGTATCTCTGGATAGAATTATTTGGTGACATGTATGAAGTTAAAGATTTGTTATGTCAGTACAAACATTTTTATCCTTGTTTCTTGGCATTTTGTCCTATATAATGAATGTATAAAATACAGCATATAAAGTCCCCCCTCGCCTTTTTACAGGCCCCCTTCATGTACTGGAAGGCTGCAGTAAGGTTTCCCTGGAGCCTTCACTTCTCCAGGCTAAACAACCTCAACTCTCTCAGTTTGTCCTTGTAGGAGAGGTACTCAAGCCCTCTGATTGTCTTTGTAGCCCTCTTCTGGACCTGCTCCAACAGGACTATGTCCTTCTTGTGTTGGAGGCTCCAGAGCTGGATGCAGTACTCCAGGCGGGGTCTCACAAGAGTGAAGCAGAGGGGAAGAACCACATCACTTAGCCTGCTGCCTGTGCTTCTTTTGCTGTTGCCCGGGATATGATTGGCTTTGCGGGCTGCACTTGCACTTTGTTGGCTCATGTCCAGCTTTTCATCAACCGGCACCTCCATGTCTTTCTGCTCAAGACTACTATCAATCCATACTCTGCCTGGCCTGTATTTGTACTTGGGATTGCCCAACCCCAGTGCAGGACCTTGTACTTGACCTTGTTAAACTTCATGAGGTTGGCATAGGCCCACCTGTCAAACCTGTCAGAAGTTCCTCTGGATGCCATCCTTTCCATCCAGTGTATCAACCATACCATACAGCTTGGTGTTGTCTGTGAAGTTGCTGAGGGCGCACTTAATCCCACTACCCGGGTCACCAACAAAGGTGTTAAACACCACCATTCCCAGTACCAATCCATGAGGAACACCACTCATCCCAGGTCTCCACTTAGACATTGACTGCAACTCTCTGAATGTGACTATCCAGTGAATTCCTTACCCAGTGTGTGGTACATCTATCCAATCCATGTCTCTCCAGTTTGGAGACCAGGATATTGTGTGGGACAGTGTCAAATACTTAGAGGAAGAAGGCTGTGAATGAGACAAAAATCTGTGATTCTCATGAAGGTGAACAGGAGTTTCTGACATATGTTGTCAGTTCTAAAAGATCATCATAAAAGACGAGAAATTCACATTACATTTTTGCAGTGTTACAGAATTCAGATATCGATAGCAATTTGTTGAGGAGAAACAGGGTTAAGGGTAGGCAACAAATGCTTGTCGAGCAACACTTTGAGCTCTAGAGAACACAAGAATTCACTAAGTTTTACTAAATATTGATTCTTTTAAGGTTGGACAACTAAAATGCTTGCCAGTTCGGAAAATTCAGGCCTGTGAATATATTTAGTGCATTAAAAATTGAGTAATTTCTTAATTGCATGCAAGTACCCCTACAGCTGTGCAAGTCTAGCACTGGAAGTACAGTCCTCCCTAGAAGTAGCAGAGTAGACCCTCTATCATGGTGATGTGATGGAGAAGTAGCCAGGGACAACAGCCATTGAGGCATTTGCATTGCTGTCTGCAGTACTGAATTCTTCCCGAGACAAAAGCTTTCTTTGTCCAGGGAGTGTCATTCTTGCAAATGGTGCAAGCTATTGCAAAGCAAAAGGTATGTGTGATGAAAAGGTGATACCGTAGTACCTAGTAGATACAAGTTTGGTGCTGATACACTAGGTATGCTGTCAGTGGTGATGTTAGCGTGACGTGCCACACATCTTAGAGCGAACGGGAGAATTTACTTTTTTTGTATGCTTCTCTTGGCAGGCACAGAGGGATTTGGCAATGTGTGGCCATTTCTTTACATAGCAGATTGCTGATAAACCTGCGCTGTAGCAAAAGCTGTTTTGCTTTGTGAGAAACTATTACTAATCTGTTTGTTAGGCCCTCAAACTCAGTTTTCCTGAGTCCTGACCGCCCAGTCTTGGAAGCAAATGCATGCTCATAATGATTAAAAAAAAAAAAGACTACTCGTATGATCTGTATAACCACACCTTAAACACGGATATGCTGGTAAAATTCTGCATGAATAGAAGTGCACTGAGTCAGTCCCTGGTGTTTAAGTGCAGACGAGTGCCTTACTTCTACAGTATGCATGAAACACTCGAAAAACGTTCCTTATTATCTTCCTCCCACCCCATCTCGGCAAGAACTAAGAAGCTGTGTGTATGCACAGAAGCATTTCAGAACATCAATTATTCAGGTATTTTGAATTGAACAGAACACTTACATTGTAACCTTCCATTAAAAAAAAAAAGGTAATCATGTACAAGTGAATTATTCTTCATAAGCATGCTGGAAAAAATTGCTTAATACTTGCTTAATTGTTTTTCTTCTGTCAATGACAAAAGCAAGGCAGGCTGAGACTTCAAAGTTGTGCAGTTCTGTGTACGCTTACTGCTAACAAGTACTTTGCAACTGACTTCCATCTGGATCCCAGGATGGGGCTCAGCTTTTCAGCCTCTTAAGTACTATGACTCCTCAGTAAGATGATGTACTTGAACCTGAGCGGTTGTTCAGCCTTGAGCAGTCTTGTTGCCAATCCTATTCTGCTTCTTCTTCCATCCTGTGTCTCATCTGTTTAGTGAAGAACTACCTGGAGAAAGTCCTTCTCCTCTTCTCAGCAATGATACAGATTTCTAGTTAAGCCTTTATCATTATTGTCATTCTTCATACAAAAAGAAGAGTAAAAGTCTCCTGGGAAGAAATACGTTTGATATACTATCCATCTTGTATCACGTAAAGGAGTTAACTTCTTTCTTATTTTGCGTTTCCCATACCTGACATTTCCATGACAAAAAAGATATGTCATCCTGCACTCACTCATCCTCCTTTTCTCTGTATTCTCTGAGCAGGCGTTCAGCTCACATGTCCAACTACGAAACGTGAGTGAGGTACAGGAATTGCGTGTTGATGCACTGTTAGTTTATTCTTTCTTTAATAGCAGTTTCTGTTTCAACATTTTTTACCCTTCTGAGAAAATATTGCATGGGGTGACTGTTTCCACTGCTACCCCCTTTATGAAAGAACTGTAATGGTTTGAAAACAAACCAGTGAGAGACTGCAAGTCAGAAATACAATTTAATGAGAAAAAAAAAAAAAAAAAACAAATAAAACAAACTGCCATTTCAATCTCTCCTGCATCCTCTATCCCTGCCTGGTGCAGGATGGCAGCAGTATGACTCTGCTGGTTCCACAGCCGTGCTTCAAACCGGCGCCTT